AAATATAGGACATAATGTTGAGGAATATGATGAGCTTAATAAAAATAGTAGTTTTATTTTTTATATTTTTGCCCTTACAATATAGGGATACAAAGTTTAAAAAGTAAGGGCTTTTTAGTAAAAAATCCATAATCTATACCTCATCCCTCATAATATAGGGATACTTAAATTGTCTTTGTTTTTTAACCCAAGAAAGCCATTTTTTAACGTAAACAATTAAAATGGCCACTTTGGACCTCAAACTAACCCGAAAATTAAGGCCACTATTAAGAAAAAACAAATGACACTAGAAATGTCATTGACAGATCCGTTAAATGATGAATAAAATAATATAAAATGCTAATGCGACACTATTTAAGTAAAAAAATGGAAATTACAAGTAGGTCCCGCTTAAAACTCCAAGCCATTGAATCATACACTCACCAATAAAAAAAGGTTGGAAAATTTATAGATGGGTCTCGATCTATTCAATCATAACATGGACTCGATCTTCCCTAGTCTTCCCTTTAGCCTACAAGGAACCCGCCTTTGTTGAGGACCAAGGATGGATGATGACTTTTATCCGTGGTGGGGATTGAGGTCAGGGACAACTAATATAATCCCTGCCTCATTTCCATTCCTAATGCTGAGTCATAAGTAATACAACTTTGATCCCACACCTCCTATTTGAAAAGAAAGCAAAGGTCTACCTAGGAACCAGATTGGTAAATTCAACACATATATGTAGGACTTTTGGCTTTAATAACCCTTGAATTTTACAAAATACACACACATACTTTAAACCCTAAACCACTTTTACCCTCAAACTATGATGGAAATGCCACTTTAAGACAAAAATAGATGGCATTAGAGATGCTATCAATGGATTCGCTAGATAATGAATAAAATAGTAAAAATGTATTTATGTGGCAGTCTCTAAGTTTGAAAATACCACTTTAGATGTTAAAAAATCCGTGAGTTAAAAATAAATTTGATTGACTTTAAGATAATTACTTCAAGAATTTTATCAAATTAGTCACTAAATTACCAATAGTAAATAATTGACAATAGTTGAGAGTTAATTATTACTTAAACACTGGCTTAATTAGTGTAACTAACAGTAATTTGACAATAATTTAATTAAGGGTAATTTACTAAATTGACCTTTTGTCAATAATATTGTGTGGAACCATTTTACTTAATCAACCTAGTGTAGTTAAGAATATTTTATGTTGTCCTATGAAAAATGCTAACTTGTCCACATATATTGCGTGCAAAATGTTCAAGGGCATGGGCCTATGGTATTTTATTTTGAAAATATACCTATCACTTTATATCGAGTTTTTAAAATCAATTAATGTTTGATTTCTATATCTACAATACAAATACAATGTTTAGTTTCATCAAAATGAAGAATAGAGAATAGATCATCATATTATTAATTTGCAACAATACGTCTTCCTTCCTCAAATAGAGGAAAAAAAACTAATTGAAAATAGTTGTTGTCCATGTATTACTTTGGGCAATAATGTCATCTTCATTAATATTATATGTAGATTAATTTGTCCAAATAAACACTAAGGTTAAATTTGTCATTTTACACCTCAATCAAATAAAAAGTCAAGTAAATTAGTTGCAAACTATAGGGGGTGTTTTAGCGAATAACCCTTTAACTTACTTAAGTTAGTTAACTTAGTAACTTAAATTTCTTAATTAAACCAATTTACTTAATTTATTTAATTACTTTATTTACTTATTTTAATTCACTTAACCAACACTAACTTAATTTACTTTTTTTACCTTAACTAGCTTCAATTATCTAATTGCTCTATTTACTTAGCTTAATTTGCATAGTTGACTTAGTTAATTAGTTGGCTTAATTTACTTATTTAGTTTAATTAGTTTAGTTTATTTGATTACACTATTTATTTAGCTTAATTTATTTAAGAGAGAATGACCAATCAGCCCATATCAGAATTTTATAGCCCCAAAGTACAGGGGGAATGCATCCTGGCCGTGAATTGATGCCAAATTCACGGGCAGGATGTGGTTTATAGGGGGGGAGAGGACTAGTAGTAGGGGGGCTGAAATTCAGAATTCTGCATCATGTGTATCCGTGCTTGTTCGTTTACTTAATCAATTAGCCAATTCACTTAATTGGATTGATTTACATTTCTAGATCGATTAATTTTGTTTATTTGATTTACTTAACTAACTTAGTTTCCTTAATTAATTTAATTTATTTATCCAATTGCTTGATTTACTTATTTAGTTCAATTAGCTTAAATGCCATTAACTACTATATTTACTTATCAATTAGTTGTTTTGTTTAATTGCGTGGGTTTCAAATCTTTTTTTGATCCATACAACAACCGTTTACCTTTCCTACAAATTGAGCCAAAGAAAGGCAACAACTGCTGGTTCTAATATGCCTTTCGTGCCCTTAGGACCTCTAAAGTCAACATTGCAAACAATAAATTAGGATAAATGTTGCCCATACAAATATTTGAGCTTATCCAAACTCCAAGCCATTTGTTGGGTTATCACCATAAGAGAATTCAATGAGATTCTTCAACAGTCTAACCTCTTTTAGATAGAAGTGACCTATTTCATTCACATTGATGGAATAGAAGTGACCTATAGTGATTCCAATCCAAACATCTGGCAACTCCAACAACACCCACACCTCCATCTACAAGCTCCCACCTCAGGCAACCAATACCACATTAGACCGACGGAGCTCGTGTTGGTTGCCCATGGCTCACTTTGGGCTAATGTAGCTCACCTAGGGCGAGCTGGGCTCACCTCATGCAGCTTGGCTTCTGTTCTAGCTAAACTTTCGTGCCACTAAGGATAAAAGGCACCTCGGCTTATAGACCGAGTAGTAGGCATAAAAAAGCACACTTTGCCAAGATGAGTTACACTATAAGAAATACATTAGAGCTTCACCACATGTATGCGGAGTGATCATCTGGCAGCATCATTATCACGTTTGGTAGCATCATTATCATGCATGCCCATCAAATCAGTTGGCTTGGGCTCCGTGCACAAAAAACGTAGCGTGGGAACCACTTAAATGCGTCTCACTACTCGTAGAGGCGTTCATGCCCCAACAACCAAGTGTCCTATCCCACACTACGGCACGTTTTGTTTGGCATGAGCATTTTCAATTTGTATAAAGGTTAATTGAGCATTCATTAGACACTTTTTTTGATTCATTTATTATAGCCTTTTTACTATGACAACTCGGCCCCTATTGACTTGCTCATCGAAGTTAAAAGCCAGGGATATCACACTAGACCCCTCTAACTTTCTTCTCTTGTGGGTACCCTATCGATCTTTGAGCTATCTTCGAGCTTCTTATGTTATCATTACATCTGACATGCCTATTTACATTTATTGGTCGAAGAGAGAACAAAAGTGTAAGTTGAAATGCAATAATACAATGATTGTGTCAAGATGTGGCATCATCTACAATCATACTTATCACAAAGGAAACCAATGGCTCGTTTGTTTCCTCTTAACTCTTATTTCTTAATATGATTTTTTTAGCTTTAAGAGAAAAATGATTGTTCGTTTCCCCTTATTTCTTGTTTTTTAAAGTGCAATCATACAATTTATTGTTTTCCAATGATACCCCCAAAAAGACAAACAAAAACTCTTGTATATGGGGTCAAAATGGATATTTGATAATTTTCATAATTCATAATTCATAACAACATTCTCTGCATTCAGAGTTACGAGGAAAGAAAAAATTCACCAATACCAATATACCTTTTAATGTAATTGTTGCACTTTCAGATGTTAGACTTCAGAGCAAACAAACATGCCTCAATTGGTTGACTAATTGGCCAATGAAGGACATGCTAGGTTTTTGCATGGCTCTACGTCAAATGAATGACAACTTAATTTTCTTTTAGTGGATTCCTTAGTTCTTTCTTTTACTTTATTAGTCGTGTTTGTTAACCTCCCTCCTGTTATTAAAAAAAAGCTGATACAAATTTCGCATTACCTCAGGATACAAAGATGTTAGAAAATCCATGATGCATGCAAATTCAAATTATAGCACATATATGCACTAGTCAATCATTTGTACCACAAACAAAAAGGAACCATAAAGTTTTGATAACTTTACTTCCACAAGGTAGATGGGTATCACTTATCTGTAAGTGGTACTCAACGAAAAACAAATTACCATGGGATCTATAATTACCAAAAAAATATAAACAGGAAATTATTCCATTAACTTGAACAATTTTCTCATTAACCAACATTCTCCATCAATTTTTCAAAAAGGACCTAAATGTTAACAATAGAAACAAGCTCTTATTGGTTGGTATTACTAGGGGGTGCAAGTTGGGCGGGTTAGGCTGGGTTTGATCTCAACCAACACCCAACCCTAAGAATTAGCATAAAGCTCGAGCCTAGCCTGAACCCAAGGTCAAGCACAAACTATTTATCCCAAACCTAGCCCACACTGAAATTTAATGCACTCGGATTGGTCTCGAATTTGGCCAGGCTTGGATTGATCAATTAATCTACACTAAAAATTGATGTACATGTGTGTCCGTATGTATACATATATGTATAATTTATTAAGAAAATATGTATATATGTATGTATGTATATATATGTATATGCACATACACATCAATATAATCGGGTCAAGCTAAAATTGGATAAGATTGGATTAAATTCCAAAAATTTAAAACCCTAAGTTTTGGGGTTAGGCCCAGCCCGTGTTAATTGCGGGCTAAAACGGTCCGGGCTCGATTTTGTTTTTTAAAGGTTCTTGTGAGCCTTTGGGACAGTTGCCTTTACTCCGTGAGCTCTCTCCAAAACTTTTCTGGCGTAACGACGGTTGCAAATTGTGCAGCGCGTTTCGTTTTAACGACCAACGGCAAGTCGCAACGTTGCCAAACGTGAAAAAATTGATTTCTTAAAAAAAAGAGGAGGAAAGAGAATGCTTCCTTCTTTTGGCGGTGGATGATAAGATGGGTCATGGGTGACGTGCTTTTAATATCTACCGTCAAAAGGAGCCAAAGTGAACTCGCCCAATCTGCACAACTTCACATTCTATTGTTGATTTGTTTCTCCAATCGCCCAGGCAACGCTGGAAGCTGAAGCCTGAAGGTTTCGAACTTCTGCTCTTCTACTTCGCCAAGTTCCCTCCTTTTTGGTTTTCCTTCTCGTCGTTGCTTCGGGCTCAAATCAGTTCCAGATGGAGATCGACGGTTTCGTATACGAAACCCTAGGCTCTCTATCAGCCTCAACCGTCCCATCAACCGACTTCTCCGGTCCCGACTCTCCCGAGCCCTACTCTGTATTCCGAACCCAGATAACTTCTTCCTCATTGAACTGCCATTCTCCTGAAACTGCTGCGCCTGACTACTTCTCTCTTGACGTCGAAGACGTCGACGCCGACGTTGTCGATGGGTCGAGGCAACCGACCGCCGCGACTCCTCCTGTTGCCACTCCTACCTCGTCTCGACCAGTGGATAGGACGTTGGAGGTCGGCTGGTTCCGAGCCAACAAGCGGTTCAGGAGCCCCATGATTCAGCTCCACAAAGGTAACGACATGTCCCCTTATATCAGATTCGTCTAAAAAGCTTATTAGAAATAGACAGTAGAAGTTTTAGCGTTGCTTGTAGTATTATTTTTGTTCTAGTTTATTTGCATTAATTATATACATAAACAAATGGTCCATGAACTATGGGAAACCATATTGCTATGTATGACACTGAACCTTAATGTGGAGAGAGTTGGGGGGTGGGGGGGGGAGTATGCCACATGCGAAATCTCTTCCATGTAGAGTTGGAACTTTTCTACATTTCATGGCATTAATGTGAATCCTGAGAATAAGATAATTCAAATTTCACATAAAAATGGAGAGAGATGGAAGGATACAATGGAGGTTCTGTCAACCAGAAACGACTCATGTAATTTACGATTCTACTTATTAATGTACCATTGTATGTGCTCATTGACCAGCTTGCATCAATGAGACAGTACTATGCACCCAATTGGTGTGGGAGCATGGGCGCCCTGGAACTACTATTTGTCTCATTTGATTTCCAGCTGAGGGAGTGGTTGGATGGTCAAAGGAACTTGCTTATCTGAAAGGAAGCCTATAGTTTTGAATAAATGCTAATTTACAGTAAAAAAGGCCATTACCCAATGCTGGTCTCAACTGGGTGCCTGGGTCTTGGGAGGGGTAGGCTGGATAGAGTTCTAACCCTTGGCATTTTTTTGGGCACAAAGTGTTTCGCTCTCGGATTCAAATCTGCATTTTCACACTTACCAGCTTGAGATTTTAACACAACACCAAGTAATGGCCCCTAAGTTTTGAATTTACAGCGTCTGTTGTTATTGGAGGTAAAGACAAGATACTATGCCAATGTTTTTGCCACCAATGTCTGCCCTAGTATAGGGTACTACTGCTTTTTTCAGTTCAACAGGAAGTTAGAAATCCATGACATATTGGCTCAGAACTAAGCATTTTTCTTTAGCATTTGTTTCTTGGTTGTTCATGTTTCTTTTTTACATTGTAAATTTACGAGGTGTATTATTGGCAGAGATACTTGATTTTTGTAGCTTTCTGTCACCAACCCCAGAGGAGCAAGCATCACGAAATACTGCTGTAGAGTGTGTTTTTGACGTCATTAAATATATATGGCCCCACTGTAAGGTATGCAGTATGAAATCTATCTTCAGAATCATCAATTAGAGTAAGGGAAGTTCATATCTAGGTACATGTAATTGTCGTTCTCGTTATTAACCATCATTATTGTTCATGCATTACTTTTTTCCATCTTCTGATTCATTAAACATTCTACATTTAGATTCACATAACCAATGCCATCAGCCCATCACATCTGTCAGATGTCAGTCAACTTCAATTGGTTTTCATTTTTTCTGTTGGCTTTTCCCAAGCTTTTTTGGGATTTTTTTTTGGTCTTGTACCAAGTCACCCTTTCAGTGGCACCATTGTTGTCACTTAAGTTCTAGTTACATAAAAGTTTTTCTAGCCACATAGACAAATTTTCTTTTGACTTTCAATGATATATATTTTGTAGGTTGAAGTGTTTGGGTCATTTAAGACAGGCCTCTATCTTCCAACTAGTGATATCGATGTAAGTATTTTTCTCTTTTTTATTAATGATGTATTTTCTCTCTCTTTTTTTTTTGCTTTTTTATCAATCTCTTTTTGTGGTTGTAATATGTTGGGACTTGGGGGTACTAACAATACAAGGAGTAGTAAAACAATTGACAATAGAAAAAACGGAATAAATACACAAACAGAGCACACATAGCACACACAAGGATTTATGTGGTTCAGCTTATAGCCTATGTCCACAGGCATTAGAGGAAAATAAATCCACCATCAGCAATAGAGATTTACAGTTATAATGTTTACAACCTCTCACCAATCCTTTACTCCCAATTAGGGGTGAGCATAATTTGGTTAAAACCGAACAAAAAATTTCGGTTTTGGTTTTTAGAATTGGAAAATCAGTTAACCAAATTAACCGAACTTTGGTATATAATATGTAATAAATAATAAATAATAAATAATATATATTATATGCTATAATATATATAATATTACATTATTAAAATTCAGTTTTAACTGAAATAACTGAAAACCGAACCGAAAATTTTGGTTTCGGTTTCGGAATTTTTGGTTTATTTGGTTCGTTTTTAACCAAACAAACCAAATGCTCACCCCTACTCCCAATATACCCACTGCTCTAGGTCCCCTGTCTCTTTCACACACTGTCTTGTTTTCTTTCTTGGACTCCAAGATACAAGATAACTTTTTATGCAAGATACATGGCTATTAATATGAGAAAAGACCTAATTGGAATGGTCCCTACAAGTTGTTAACTAACTGATCTTGCTCTTCATGTGAGATCACTACTATGAGTCTAGCGAGTCCTAGCTGCGAGATCAGCCTGCGATAACAGGGCCAGGCTACTACTAGTCTGGAGTCCTGCAAGATCCAGATGAGCTGTTAGATCCATCTTTCTACTAGGTCCACCTGTCTGCGAGATCCAATATGCTGCCACACTGGATACTAGTGATCTCTACTTGTCTCTGTGAGTCCATACTGTGGGGGGCTCTGCTCCCACACCCCAGGGGGTGGTAGTGGTGGGCTACAGGCTTGGCCAAGCCCTTCGATTCCACCATAGACCACTACGAAAATTTTCCTTAAACTTTTTCTCCACTTTGTTTGGGTCGGGTCATGGAGTGCGATCACACTTAGAATTCAAGACACCGACACAACATAATATTTAAGATTATTATTGAACCAACTGAGTGTACCTAAATGACTTATATTTTGATCACAAATGATGCTGGAGTGATAGATAAACCTGTTATAGAAATTTAGAGTGAGGTTTTGGTCAATTTAAGGGAAGAAATAGGGACTGCCACCAAGGCAAGATATAATTTAGATGGCTGAAATAGCCACATCAAGCACTTTCCAAAATATTTCCCACAGCAAGTTGCTGTAAGTGAACTGTTCCTAAAAATGCAAGATTAGAGTTCAAGTAAAGGGGAAAAAATTAATTGTGAAACTAGATTTAAGGGACTACTACAAGAATGGCAAAGAGATGTCACCATAATCCATGAAAGCATCAAAATAAGGGCTGCGAAGGTATCATTGAATGGTTGATAAAAAGGTGTCATTGAGTGGGTCATCCATCAGGAAGGAAGAAGTTTTTCAGAGTATGGACAGTAGGGGTTTGTCATTGTCTAGGGTTACAGATGAGCCCCTTTTTCAGAGTAGGAAGGAGGTAATATTTCAGTACTTCTATTCCTATTGGTACATCTTACAGATTATCCTCTTTTTTGGGTTAGTGCTACCTTTGGTACCATGTGTACCTTAAAAGCTTGTATTATCTCATTCTTTTTTCTTTCATTGGTTACTACACACTTTTGATTGTCATAAGTAACAAAAAGGGTTTTATCTAAATATCTAATTTAATGCAAGTATTGTTCAGGTTGTGATTTTGGAGTCCAAGGTCAAAACTCCACAAATTGGTTTAAAAGCTCTTTCTAGGGCCTTATCCCAGAGAGGTATTGCTAAACAAATACAGGTAAGTTATTTCTGATCACTAGTGGCATATTTAACATTGAAGACTATAATCTAATGTGATATTTCTCCATTTTTCAGGTGATAGCAAAGGCTCGTGTACCAATTATTAAGTTTGTGGAAAGGAAAAGTGGCATTTCATTTGATATTAGGTTCAAATTCTCTCCATTTTAAAGTTTTTGCAGATATGTTTTTTTAATTGATGTCATATCTTGCATGTCTTGATGTTGATGTGTTTTATTTTTACTATCTTCAACACCTCCGACCATTCTTTCTTTTGAATCTTACCATCTTACCATGCAGCTAAAGAAAACATGTTTGTCTTTGTACCTATTGAAGGCTTGGGATTTTTTTTTTTTTTTTTGATGGGTAGCAGAACTGAATTTTATTAATTAACTGAAGTGTAAGTGCGTCAAGACAGAAAGACCCAATTGGCCCCAGTACAATTATTAATCTCTTGATACCCTTGTTTTGCTAGTTCATCTGCCAACCCATTGGCAGCCCTTGGGCTTGGAGTCCATTTCACTTGTGCTTGCAGGTCCTCTATTAATATTTTTAGCTCTCTGAAGACATATCTATAGCTCCAAGCTACCTTCTGCTCATCCTTTAACCACACAATGACTTTTCTTGAAGGCTTGGCAGATTAGTGATCTAATTTCTCAAAAGTAGGTGCATCGTCACCCTTAAATATTGATTCATGATCCAAGGGCAAGTGCAAGTGCTCCCCTTCACTGTGGATTGCAAAATTTGACTGTGTGCATCCACGAGTCTAAATGCACATTCTGGTTATGCATCAAACTTTGTTGTACAATCAGAAGTGGTGATCTTCAAGCAACTAAAGTAACAATCTTGGGTGAGTGCCCTTTTGAATCTTGGTATTTGAAGTAGTGAATGAAAATTGTCGTTAAGGGTGCAAGCCAGGTGTGCTTGGCTTGGTTTTAACTCAACCCAGGTCCAGCCCTAAGAATTGGAACGCCCAAGCTCGAGGTCAGCCTGAACTATCCAACTTGAGCCTCACCCGCACTAAAATTTGATGCACCCAAGTTGGGCTCAGGTTGGTCAATCAGCCCAAACTAAAAATTGATATACACCTATGCATGCATGCATTAATGCATATATGTAAGTTTTATTAAAAAATGCATATATTCTTGTGTGCATGCAAATATGTGTCTATATATGCATATTGATGAAGATCAAAAGTCACTGTATGGGCTCGGAGGCAGCCCAAAGGTTGGTAGAATACCTGCAAGAGAAGGAAGTCAGAGGGCATAGGGTGATATCTCGGGCTTGTTACTTCAATGAGCAAGTTAGTAAGGGCCGAGTTGTAGTTAGCAGTAATTAATGAAGCCAAAAAGTGTATAATGAATGCTCAACTAACCTTTATATAGATTGAGGGCACTTGTGCCAAACAAAACATGTTGGAGAGGTGCTGGACACCTTGCTATGGGCCAGGATGGTGGTGAAGACATAACACCTGGACGAGTTGTGGGACACATTCAGGTGGTTCATTGCCATGTTGTTTGCGCATGGAGGAAGCCTGAGGCCCACTAATTGACAAGATGGGCGGATGTGGCGATGGCACTGCCAGGTGGTCGTTCCCGCGTACACATGGTGAGGCTTGGGTGTATTTCTTCTAGTGCAGCTCACATTGGTGAAGTGTGCTTTCTTATGCATACAATTGGACTTGTAAGCCGAGCTACCCTTTTACCCTTAGTGACACGATAGTTTAACCAAAGCAGAGGCTGGGTTACTTGGGGTGAGCCACGTTAGTTTGAGATGAACCTTGGGTGCCCGAGATGAGTAGGGGTGTCAACGATATTCGAAAAACTGATTTTGAATTCGAGATTCGATATAATCGAATTGAATTTGGATAATTCGAATATTGTAATCGGTTGAATTCAGATATCCTATTCATACCGATTAGCTAATCGGATTCAAATTTGGATATGACCTATTCAATTCGATAAATATTTGAGTTCGACTGATTATTTAATTCTTATATATAATATATAAAATATTCAAATATTTTATATAATTTATATAATAATTAATTATATAAATAATTTATATATTTATGTACTTTATATAAATAAAATATTTATTTTATATATTTTTTGATTACCAAAAATAATTAATTGGTTGAATTCGAATCGAATCAAACATTCAAATATTTAATCGAATTCAAATTCGAATTTATTAAAATTAATTTTGAAAGGTAAGGTGAATTTATTAAAATTAATTTTGAAAGGTAAGGTAAATTTATTAAAATTTGAATATGAATTTTCAATGTCCGTTAGATATCGAATTGAATTCAGATATTGGGTTTTCTAATCGGATTCAAATTCGATCCATTTACACCCCTAGAGATGAGCTCTGTTGGTTCGAGGTGGCACCGGTTGATTGAGGTGAGCACTTGTAGCAGGAGGTAGCTGCCATGTGTTTGGAGTTTACTAGAGGCTACTTCTACCCCCATCACATATATACATGGATATAATCAGGTTGGGCTACCTAAGGGCTAGACCTGAAGCCAACCTTAAAAGTTGAAAAACCCGAACTTTTGGGCCTAAGCCCAATCCGAGGACCGAAAATCCAAGCCTATCCTGTGTAAAGTTGTGTGCTAAGTTGGTCTGGGCTCGGGTTGGGCCTGTCCAAGTTGCACCCCTAACTGTTGTGCATTAGTTTGGTATTATGTAAGTGGCATTGTACAAATGATTTTAAGTCTCGATATATTTCTTTTCCTAATATTTTTTCTTATATTTATAGAATTTTAGTAAATAAGTTTATGTAACTCTTGGACACAATGCCTAACAGACAAGGTTGAATCCATGGCTAATTTTGTCATGCAATGTTTCTTTTCATTGGTTCTACCATGTCTATATATCTCTAGGTGTGTGTGTGTGTGTTAAAATTTGAACATTAAAATTTAAATTATTTAGTTCTTCAATGAACAATTTAATTGTTAGTAGTACTACAACAAATCAATTAATCAGTAAAAGTTATTTGAATTCTTCTTCCAATATATTGTATTTTCATTATAAGATTCCCATAATTGATGCTTATTGCCATGAGGGTTCATTCGGTTACAAAGACAAGTTGTGAAAATGTGGAATATTTGCCAGATTAAAAAAAAAGGACTCTGATTGGAGAATATCAATATGGCCAACAATTTCTAAGTTTGTTGGATGTGCCCATAAAAAATGAAAATGTTGGGGACCAAAGCGGAAAAAAGATGGGGGGCAATATTTTATTCTAGTAATCTAGTTTGCATCATTCCTCGGTTTTCTGTGAGCTTACACTTTCTGGTTAATTGGTACCAAACCAAACGAGGTGGCTCATCAGTCTTTGCCATGGCAAGCATGTATAAGGGTACCACCTAGATTGCCCGTTCCTTTTCTTTGGGCTTGGTTATGTTAGGTGTGGGTGGGTCAAACCCTTCTAGTTGAACAAGTGTCTGGATGCCGATGACCATGTCTTATCCCTCTACTCCATCTAATGTTATTTATTGAATCCTCTTCAATGGATAAAGTGGTAAGACGATGTTGTCTTGCAATCCATAAGCCTCCCAAGCAGTGCTTTAAAAGCCTTGCCTAGGTGCATAGGTGAGGCGCATTATAAGGAATGTGCCTCATCTGAAGGCTCTAAACCAAGGTGCAGCCCCTTTCAAAAGGCATGCCCTTGGTGTGCCTTGCGCCTCATCCCTGGTGTGATACTTTTTTAAATGTATCTTTGTTATTTTAGTAGATTCTTATGTCTTTTACACCAACTAGCTCATTGTAGTGGAGACTTGGGATCAAATCACACTGTCACCAGGGTTGGGGAGGGTTGTAGGTATGGGCCATGGGGGATGGGCTACCTCCCGTTAAGTAGCACCATGAATCCAAAAACAGGGCCTTTCAAATACATGAAACCTTGGTTCTTTCACATGGATCTCAAACATCAAAATTTTCAATAAAGAAGCAACACAAATGCAACCAATGTATGATCCCGCATTGATTTGTTACAGAAGTTATATAATATAAGGTTGAGTGGGGAAGGGAGGACAGGAGAATGTGAACCTTGGTGGGGGGTCTGGGCATTGGAAATGTTAAGTTGAAGAACTTGGCCTTGTTGAGTTAATGTCTTTGAAGATTTCCTAAAGAAAATGAGAGGCTGTGGACTAGAGTTATTTCCAGTATCCATGGGCTTTCAAACAACGGTTGGGATGCAGGCTGCTTACATAGAGCTACTCTGGCTGCTCCTTGGAAGGATATCCATGACAATCTTCCTGTGTTCGTCAATCACATAAGATATGATTTGGCTTTGGGTCAGAAAATTAGATTTTGGGAGGATATGTGGGTAGGGGAAGGCCCCCTTTTGGTGGTTTTTCCTTCTCTCTTTGAGCTTTCTAGTTTCAAAGGCAAACCTATTTGTGATTTTATCAGTTCTTCCTCATCCCTTTCATACCTGAGTTGGAATCTTGGCTTCACTAGAAATCTGAGAGAATCTAAAATTTCCAATGTCTCAGCTTTGCTTCTTCTGTTGAGTTCAGTATGTTTGGGGGAGGGTGGTTCAGATTCTAGAGTGTGGACCCTTTGTCAGTCGGGCTCTTTTTCCTGTAAGTCCTTTTTGAATTCTCTTATCTCCACCACCCCCTCTCCTTATTTCCCTGTTAAGGAGATATGGTCTCAGCCCACCCCTCCAAAAGTCAGTGCTTTTTGTTGGGAAGTGTTTCATGGCTCCATTAACACCTGTGATTTGCTTCAGAGGAAAAGAACAAATTGGTGTTTGTCCCCAAGTTGGTGCTCTTTATGTAAGTTGTATGATGAGACTGCCTTTCATCTTTTGATGGTAGTTGCATGGGCAATCCTGGACCGTCGGGTATTGGCGGGGTAATTAGGGAAGAAAATGGAAACATTCTAGCTTTGTACTCAGGTCCTATTCAGCATGGAGATGTGGTGAGATCAGAATTATTGGCAGCAGTCTATGGAGTAGAGAAAGCTAAAGAAATGGGGATTACTAAGCTGATTATTGAAGGTGATTCAAAAGTAGTTGTGGGCTGGTTGAAAAAAGGGGAAGGAATCATATGGAAGTAAAGGAATGAACTCAGGATATTCAAGCAGATTTCTAAAGATATGATGGTCCAAATAAGGTGGATAAGGAGGGGTCTGCAAAA